TCCTTCCCCTACATGCATACATCCTTCCCCTACATGCATACACCCTTCCACTACATGCATACACCCTTCCACTATACACACACACCCTTCCCCTACATAGACACACCCTTCCCCTACATGCATAAGCCCTTCCACTACATGCATACACCCTTCCACTACATGTATACATCCTTCCACTACATGCATACATCCTTCCCCTACATGCATACATCCTTCCCCTACATGCATACACCCTTCCCCTGCATGCATACACCCTTCCCCTACATACATAGACCCTTCCACTGCACACACACACCCTTCCCCTACATACATACACCCATTCACCGCACACATACACCCATCCCCTACATGCATACACCCTTCCCCTACATACATACACCCTTCCACTACATACATATACCCTGCCTCTACATACATATACCCTGCCTCTAAATACATACACCCTGCCTCTACATGTATACACCCTTCCACTGCACACACACACCCTTCCCCTACATGCATACACCCTTCCCCTACATACATACACCCTTCCACTACATACATATACCCTGCCTCTACATACATATACCCTGCCTCTACATGTATACACCCTTCCACTGCACACACACACCCTTCCCCTACATGCATATACCCTTCCCCTACATACACACACCCTGCCTCTACATACATACACCCTTCCACTACATACATATACCCTGCCTCTACATACATATACCCTGCCTCTACATACATATACCCTGCATCTACATGCATACACCCTTCCACTGCACACACACCCTTCCCCTACATGCATACACCCTTCCCCTACATACATACACCCTTCCACTACATACATATACCCTGCCTCTACATACATATACCCTTCCTCTACATGTATACACCTTCCACTGCACACACACACCCTTCCCCTACATGCATACACCCTTCCCCTACATACATACACCCTTCCACTACATACATATACCCTGCCTCTACATACATATACCCTGCCTCTGCATGCATACACCCTTCCACTGCACACACACACCCTTCCCCTACATGCAAACACCCTTCCCCTACATGCATACATCCTTCCTCTACATGCATACATCCTTCCCCTACATGCATACATCCTTCCCCTACATGCATACACCCTTCCACTACATGCATACACCCTTCCACTATTCACACACACCCTTCCCCTACATACACACACCCTTCCCCTACATGCATAAGCCCTTCCACTACATGCATACACCCTTCCACTACATGTATACATCCTTCCACTACATGCATACATCCTTCCCCTACATGCATACATCCTTCCCCTACATGCATACACCCTTCCCCTACATGCATACACCCTTCCCCTACATACATAGACCCTTCCACTGCACACAAACACCCTTCCCCTACATACATACACCCATTCACCGCACACATACACCAATCCCCTACATGCATACACCCTTCCCCTACATACATACACCCTTCCACTACATATATATACCCTGCCTCTACATACATATACCCTGCCTCTAAATACATACACCCTGCCTCTACATGTATACACCCTTCCACTGCACACACACACCCTTCCCCTACATGCATATACCCTTCCCCTACATACACACACCCTACCTCTACATGCATACACCCTTCGTCTACATACATACACCCTTCCACTACATACGTACACCCTGCCTCTACATACATATACCCTGCCTCTACATACATACATCCTGTCTCTACATGCATGCACCCTTCCACTGCACACACACACCCTTCCCCTACATGCATGCACCCTTCCCCTACAAGCATACACCCTTCCCCTACATACACACACCCTGCCTCTAATTACATATACCCTGCCTCTACATACATACACCCTGCCTCTACATGCATACACCCTTCCACTACACACACACACCCTGCCTATACGTATACGCACCCTGCCTATACATACACACACACCCTGCCTATACATATACACGCCCTGCCTATACATATACACATCCTGCCTATACATATATACACCCTGCCTATACATATACACACCCTGCCTATACATAGACACACCCTGCCTATACATACACACACCCTGCCTATACATATCCACATCCTGCCTATACATACAAACACCCTGCCTATACACATACACATCCTGCCTATACATATACACACCCTGCCTATACATACACACACACCCTGCCTATACATATACATGCCCTGCCTATACATATACACATCCTGCCTATACATATATACACTCTGCCTATACATATACACACCCTGCCTATACATAGACACACCCTGCCTATACATACACACACCCTGCCTATACATATCCACATCCTGCCTATACATACAAACACCCTGCCTATACACATACACATCCTGCCTATACATATACACATCCTGCCATTACATATTCACATCCTGCCTATACATATACATATCCTGCCTATACATATACACATCCTGCCTATACATATACACATCCTGCCTTTACATATACACACCCTGCCTATACATATACACATCCTGCCTATACATATACACATCCTGCCTATACATATATACACCCTGCCTATACATATACACATCCTGACTATACATATACACATCCTGCCTTTACATATACACATCCTACCTATACATATACACACACTGCCTATACATACACACACACACACACACACACTGCCTTTACATACACACCTTGCCTATACATATACACATCCTGCCTATACATACATACACCCTGTCTATACATATACACATCCTGCCTATACATATACACACCCTACCTATACATATACACACCCTGCCTATACATATACACATCCTGCATATAGATATACACATCCTGCCTATACATATACACACTCTGCCTTTACATACACACGCACACTGCCTATACATATCCACACCCTGCCTATACATATACACATCCTGCCTATACATACATACACCCTGCCTATACATATACACACTCTGCCTATACATACACACGCACACTGCCTATACATATCCACACCCTGCCTATACATATCCACACCCTGCCTATACATATCCACACCCTGCTTATACATACACAGACCCTGCCTATACATATACACACCCTGCCTATACATACACACACACACACACTGCCTATACATACACACACACTGCTTTTACATACACACACTGCCTATACATATACATCTTGCCTATACATACACACACCCTGCCCATACATATCCACACCCTGCCTATACATATCCACACCCTGCCTATACATATATACACCCTGCCTATACATACACACACCCTGCCTAAACACATACACACCCTGCCTATACATATCCACACCCTGCCCATACATATCCACACCCTGCCTATACATATCCACACCCTGCCTATACATATCCACACCCTGCCTATACATATCCACACCCTGCCTATACATATACATCCTGCCTATACATATACACACCCTGCCTATACATATCCACACACTGCCTATACATACACACACCCTGCCTATACACATAAACATCCTGCCTTTACATACACACACTGCCTATACATATACATCCTACATATACATACACACACACTGTCCATACATATCCACACCCTGCCTATTCATAAACACATACACTGCCTATACATACACACACCATGCCTAAACACATAAACATCCTGCCTATACATACACACACCTTGCCCATACATACACACACTGCCTATACATATACACATCCTGCCTTTACATACACACACTGCCTATACCAAACATCCTGCCTATACATATCCACATCCTGCCTATACATATCCACACCCTGCCTATACATAAACACACACACTGCCTATACATAAACACACACACTGCCTATACATGCACACACCCTGCCTAAACACATACACATCCTGCCTATACATACACACACCCTGCCTATACATACACACACCCTGCCTATACATATCCACATCCTGCCTATACATACACACACCCTTCCTATACATATCCACATCCTGCCTATACATACAAACACCCTGCCTATACATACAAACACCCTGCCTATACACATACACATCCTGCCTATACATACACACACCCTGCCCATACATATCCACATCCTGCCTATACATACAAACACCCTGCCTATACATATACACATCCTGCCTTTACATACACACAATGCCTATACCTATACATCCTGCCTATACATATCCACATCCTGCCTATACATATCCACACCCTGCCTATACATAAACACACACACTGCCTATACATAAACACACACACTGCCTATACATGCACACACCCTGCCTAAACACATACACATCCTGCCTATACATACACACACCCTGCCTATACATACACACACCCTGCCTATACATACACACACCCTGCCTATACATATCCACATCCTGCCTATACATACACACACCCTTCCTATACACATACACATCCTGCCTATACATACACACACCCTGCCTATACATATCCACATCCTGCCTATACATAAAAACACCCTGCCTATACACATACACATCCTGCCTATACAATACACACACTGCCTATACACATACACCCTGCCTATACATACACAGACCCTGCCTATACATATACACACCCTGCCCATACATACACACACCCTGCCTATACACATGTACACATCCTACCTATACATACAAACACCCTGCCTATAAATATACATACATATCCACACCCTTCCCCTTCCGTGTAGTCAGTTGTCCCTTTGCTTCGGGAAGATAGCATAAATCCGGACTAGTACAAGCAGCCACACACACACACACACACACACACACACACACACACACACACAAAAACGCGAGCGCGCGCACACGTGCATGCACGTTACTATATAACCTTGAACGCCTAATTCCCCTCAAAACACACCTCTCCATTTAAACAGGCATCATACAAATATTACTAAACATGATACTGTAACATTTTCTCCCCACGCAAATAAAATAACTATTTGGTAGCGAGTGAGTGTACTTACGGTCTGTTGTGAAGCGAGGAAGATGAGAAATGTCACGTGAAACACATCCGAGGACTTTATATCAGACGCTGCTACGATTTCCTTGAAATCCAGATTTCCAACAAGCGACTGGTTTTCCCACATTCAACAATTCTCGGGGAATAACCCAATGCCAGAAAACAGCTATTTATAGAACACGCAAACAGCCAGGGCTCTCTGCAGCTGCTGGAGCGTTCTGTCGCCTTGACCCAAGAGATAAATGTCAGCATACCACTTGTGGACCATTTACATGAGGAGATAGCATGTGAATTTAAAACTGGGCAGGATTTATCGAGAATTCCGTAAACATGCTTGTGATACAGTCGGGACACTGACGTGATTATGGTTAGGTTTCTTTTCTTTTTCTTTATTTATTATTCTCAAACCATGACATAAATTATCACCACAATAACAGGTATTCGGGTGTGTTTAATTTGAAGTGACATTTGCTGAAGATTTGGGGCAATCTATCTGGGGGTTTTTGTGTTTTTTTTGTTGTTTCGCCTCTTACTACAAGCTGACCACATCCGTGGTCTTGTGGTAGAGCAGAAGGGTCATACCAAAAGGGCTCGGCACTAAGGGGCTAAGACAAGGACTGGTCGGCTCGGAGTCGGTATACTGTCTCTGAGTGGGGTGTGCGGCATGGTATCTCAGTGAGCTCGCACTATAAATCGACATCAGTCCGGACAAGTACAAGCAGCCACACACACACGTGCATGCACGCCGCGAAATAAGTACAATAACCTTTAACGCGACGTTAAACCCAATTTCACCTCACCTACGATAACATGAGTTGCTGAAGACCAATTCAAAACCGGATATTCACGAGGTACCAGATATCTGAGCAGGTCTAGTGAGTGAGTGAGTGAGTTTGGTTTAACGCCGCTTTTAACAGTATTCCAGTTATATCGCGGCGTGTCAGCTTAACGTGGGAGGAACGCCCGAAGTGATGCTGGTCTGAGACGTTTACCACTTCGCTGAGCAGGTCCAGATAAATCGATGTTTTTGGTGGTATTTAATCGCAAATGGAAATCGGAGGGGTTTGTTGTGTCGAAGAGGTCACTTGTCCTTATGACTCTAGTTCTTTCAAATGATAGGCATTGTCCACGATAGGCATGCGTCGACAGAGCAGGGATGGCCTTATCCTCAGTAAACAACTGGGAATCCTAGGAGGCGAGTCCAAGGTCATGTCACAGCACTCAGCACTCGACTTACTCCTCTACCTTAATATTACAACGCTGAAGTGAAATCGGCTTACTCCTCTATCTTAATATTACAATGCTGAAGTAAAATCGGCTTACTCCTCTATCTTAATATTACAATGCTGAAGTGAAATCGGCTTACTCCTCTACCTTAATATTACAATGCTGAAGTGAAATCGGCTTACTCCTCTACCTTAATATTACAACGCTGAAGTGAATTTGTTTAACATTTGTTTTTGTTTGTTGTTAAAGTGAGTGAGTGAGTGAGTATGGTTTTACGCCGCTTTTAGCAATATTCCAGCAATATCACGGCGGGCGACACCAGAAATGGGCTTCACACATTGTACCCATGTCGGGAATCGAACCCGGGTCTTCGGCGTGACGAGCGAACGCTTTAACCACTAGGCTACCCGACCGCCCGTTTGTTGTTAAATATCGCACTCAGCAATATTCCAGCTATATGACGACGGTCTTTAAATAATCGAGTCTGGACAAGACAATCCAGTGAATGACATCATGAGCATCAATCCATCAATCCACTCAATTGGGATACGATAACATGCATCGACCAAGTCAGCAAGCCTGACCCCCCGATGCCGTTAGTCCCCTCTTACGACAAGCATAGTCGCCTTTCACGGCAAGCATGGGTTGCGATTTACGACGTAATAGATATTTTAACCGATGAATAAAGCCACTATCTGCCCCCCGCGATGAGTGCAGAGTTTGGTGCAGATACGCATTGCGGCAGCAGTCTATATTTATCCAGCGGGAATTATAAGTTTCATTTCCGTGAGAGCTGACGTGGTCGTGTTTCGTTCTGAAGTAAGGTGAAATGGGTCTTGTTGAAGATTATTGCACTTATATAGCAACATGCCTCTCTCTCAACATAAACATTCTAAACATAAAAACAATCAAAATAGATCCCAAATCCATCCTTAATTTCATCCTCATTCTTGCTAAATCATTCTAGACTTGAGTTGAACTCCTTTTTTGTTTATTTTCTAAGGTCTTGGAGACAGACTATGCGCTGTCGTTTCACATGAATACTCCACACGGACACAGTGTTATCCCCTTAATGCTGATCACCAGGCAGGGTAACAACAAGTACCATATTTTACTGTCTTTTAGTAAGACGTGACCGGGGTTCGAACCTCTGACCTTCCGCTCTCCGAGGTGGCGCTTTATCCAGAAGACCAGGAACTGGCTTAGGATCCTCTAAAAGAAGTCGACACGCCGTTAAACATCTGAAATATCAAGCCTTAACAAAATCGAAACAAATCGATCATGTTTCTTTGTGAAAACATGCAAACCGACGGAACCATTAAAACATACCGCCTCCGTGGTCTAGTGGTAGAGCGTCCGCCCGGAAGGCGGAACGTCCGGGGTTCCAACCCCGGCCGCGTCATACTAAAATACGTTAAAAGATGGTACTTGTTGTTACCCTGTCTGGCGCTCGGCATGAAGGGGCAAAAACAAAGACTGGTCGGCTCGGAGTCAGTATACTGTGTCTGAGTACGTCCCTTAGGTGTGCCTGAAACATACGGCAGAGAGTTCGAATCCCTAATCACCCTGAATATGTTTCTCAGCACCAAACCCTGTTCGTAGATTTCATCAAAGTGGTAAACGTCTACTACAACCTGCGTCACTTCGGACTTTCCTCCCACATCAAGCAGACACGCCGTGATATAATATTTCCCACACGTTAATCATAGTGAACAACTGGAACAAGTCATTACAATCAAATCTAGGAATCTGAGAACTTAACACCAATGCTCTCTACTAGCAAGACCATTCCTTCCCAATTGCCAGAAGCCCATGACCATGGCTTCGAATCCGAGATTCGCCATGGGTATGATTCTCGGTTTGTCAGCACCAACTCGTGCTCTTGGGTTTCACCAAAGTGGTAAGCTTCAAAGATCTTCATCACTTCGGGCTTTCTTCAACATTAAGCTGGGGCGTTTGGGTAGCCTAGTAGTTAAAGCGTTCGCTCGTCACGCTGAATACCCGGGATCGATTCCCGACATGGACACAATGTGTGAAGACCTTTTCGGTATCCGCCGCCGTGATATTGCTGGAATATTGCTAAAGCGGCGTAAAAACATACTCACTCACTCACTCTCTCGTTGCTAAACCCAGCCTGAGAGCGGTGAAGTAGCCTAGTTTTGTTTTGTTTCGTTTGTTTGTTGTTTAACGTCGCACTCAGCAATATTCCAACTACATGACGGCGGTCTGTAAATAATCGAGTCTGAAACAAACAATCCAGTGATTGACATAGTGAGCATCGATCCACTCATATGGGATACGATGCCATGCATCAACCAAGTCAGCGAGCCTGATCACCCGATCCCGTTAGTCGCCTCTTACGTCAATGAAATTACAGCACAAGAGTGGGTGTGTCATTTTGAATCAATGTATTAAGGTATCGGTGAAAAACTTGAAAATGATCAATTATATATTTCAACTGTTGACTTTGTTGCCTCCGAATCTGATAAACTTATTAACAACTCAGTTGATGAATCATCTTACATCGACTCAGAAATAACTCGCTTTCAAGATTATTTCACTTAAATAGCGACGTGCATGCACGTGTGTGTGTGTGTGTGTGTGGCTGCTTGTACTAATCCGGACTGATGCCCACTGAGCTACAATGCCGTCGTTTTAACATGAATCTTTTAACGTCTTTTGGTATGATGCTGTCGGGTATCGAACCCAGGAGGGGCGCTCTACCCTTTGACCACGAAGGCGGTCTAATATTAAGAACAAGTAACTAAACAAAACATACTGTACATTTTATTAGAACTATTGTGCATTTTGGTATATTGATATCATGAATTGTCGCTCTGCAACTGTAAGCCATATCTCACTGTGACCTCTATAATGGGCAGGTGGCCTCTTTCCAGAATAAAGTCTTGATGAATGTTAGCGTATGGGGCTTAAAGGAGGAGATCACGCCCAATCATCTTCATCCACCACCTTGTGTTCTGCCTTGAACTTCTCAGCTTCTTTAATTGCTTTTTTCTCCTGCTGTTTGATCGTTGGATCTTCTGGCGGAGGAGGAGGTAAGACGGCTTTCATCTCCCTTTGAATCCTCTCTATCCTCCTCTGCACCTTTGTGTCGAACTCCAGCTGTTTCTGGGCAACAATCAAACCAATCGACACCGTGGCGTCCTGTGCCTGTCTGTTCAACTGGGACATCTTTCGGGTGACGGCGCGAGTGTCGTTCTCTCCACCCAATGCAAGCAGCTCTCCAAGACTAGCCACTTGATCCATCAGATGCTTCTCGGACACTTCAACATACATCTCTGCCAAGTTGTTCACCATGTACGATAGCTTGTTGGCTTCAGATGCTTGGACATAGATCATGTCCCTCATCATGTCCGACATCGTGTACTCAAGACGAAACTCTGCCCCTCGCTCGGCGCCCTGGACGAAATTCTTCACATTTTCATCCATGGAGCATTTGATGATGTTTGAAATTGTTGTGAAAAATCTCACCAACTTTCCCCACTGTGTTCGAACCTGTCCAAGAGCTTTGATACCTCTCTGCAACAGTTGTTTTATTTCATCAAAGTTGACCTTGTCAAGGTTAATGTGTGCAAGCTCTTCAATGACTGACGTCACATGGGCATTGGTTTCCTGTAATGATTTGCTTTTGCTCTTGAAGTCCTCTCTGATTGATTCAAGAGAAGAGGCAGTTTGTTCAACTTGGAATCTACACTGTTCACTATATTTTGCTGAAGCTGAACTGGAACTATCCTGCTCTTTAGTGGACATCATGGGTGTTGGTGTTTGCAGCGACTGTCCAAATGCATGTGCACAGAATGTCTCCAGTGCTTTCATTCTTCCTTCCAGCCTTCCAGCTATAAGCTTCGCATCTTTTTCTTGTGATTGTACCTTGGCAAGCTGCTTACCAGCAGTCTTCATTTTCCTGATGAGTTGATACCCGTCATCTACAATGTCGTTCACTTTCTGCTTACAGACTCCCGAGTAGGACTTCAAAGCCTGAACAATATCCTGAAATGTTGCCTCGACCATCATGAGATGATCCACTTCCGTTCCCTGCATAATCTGATCGAAATCTGTAACGAGAGTCTTCACACAATGCGATAGTTGTGGGAGTTCCATCATCAGGAGAGCTTCCTTGTCTTCTTCTTTCTGCACCTGCTTGTCTTTGGAGGATTCTTTTTTCGCGGCCTTCTTTGTAATAGCATTGGAGACTGATTGGCAGACACCAAGTGTGCATTTAGCCAGCCCTTCCACGAAGTCCATACCGATCATGCTCCAACCAGATGGCATAGAGTTCATGGCTTTTTGGTACGATTTTTGGGCCTTTTTAAACTGGTCGCGTAATTCATTGTACTCCTCTTCTGCGAGCTGTTTTCTTTCTTCTAATGACTTCATTCTCAATGTCTTCACCTCATGATCCTTTTCAGCTTTGAGCAGTTTCTCAGAATAGTGACCTTCGGCAAATGTGCATGCTTTCTGTAGTTCTCCTATCAAATCCATGATAGTACAAAATCGTGTCTCCACTTCTTCAGCCCGTACAACGCATGTGTCAGTAATGCGCTTAATGTTAGCTAAGTAATCAGGAACTAGATTGCGCACTTCCTTTTCGGATCCATTGACAATGTACTGAAAAACAGAAATATACTCATAAGGGACCGATATACATTGAACATTGAACATGTCTGGGCGAGTCATGATTGTTTTGAGGACAGTTATTTTGATTGGGAGAGTTTAAGGAGTCTGTGAGAGAGCCACGGTGCCCAGGGCAGAGTGAGGGTATCTCGGGGACAATCGGTGTTCCAAAGAGAGAGTCTGGGTGTCTGGGAGCGTGGTGCGTGGTTGTGACGAGACTCCAAGAACAGGATATATATCTGTTTCACAACACATTTTTTCAACACAACTCGTTTAAGATTGTCTTTTGCTATGACGTTTAAAATGTTATCCGTCCTTAAATGATATTGTAACCAAATGTGAAGTGGATGGTTTATAATTTTCAAGAGTTTTTAACTAAATTATATTTACTATTTTGAAATGATAATTCCTTCTGAGAACTTGTTCATCATTTGGTCAGTAGTTACGTATTATAATTACTATAATTAGCAGTTGTTAAAATTGGCCAGATCTGCACGTCAAATGTACTGAAGTTTATTTTACTCTGGTATTTGTCTAAACTTGATACATCAAATTTACATAAACACAATTTGGCCCAAAGAGGTTCCCAGTATTTATAACCAGGTTTTGCCAATGCTTCCTCTGACGTCCGAACAGGGTAATTAATAATTGGGCTGTCATTACATTGGCAGATCCACTGTGGAGCCCGGCCACTGCTGACCCGGACCTCTCACTTGCGCCACCCTTTGGGTTCTTGGTTCTTCTTACTTAAATCTGGCGTTATAACTTGTCACAGTTATTTGTCAAACTACATTGTATACCTATTTTATACCGAGGGCTGGATCAGTTAGTTTATTGAGTATTTGTGTTGGTAGGTTCTTACTTACATTATGGTCTTTATTAAATAAAGTATATATAGTACTTCAGTATTTCGGTAATTATCTACTGGCAGACAGTTATTGGTTGTTGGTTGGTTGGTTGGTTTGTTGTTTTACGCCGCACTCAGCAATATTCCTGCTATATGACGGCGGTCTGTAAATAATCGAGTCTTGACCAGACATTACAGTGATTGATATCATGAGCATCGATCCACGCAATTGGGATCGATGACATGCATCAACCAAGTCAGCGAGCCTTACCACCCGATCTCGTTAGTCGCCTTCTACGACAAGCATAGTCGCCTTTTACGGCAAGCTTGGGTTGCTGAAGACCTATTCTACCCCGGATCTTCACAAGTCGACAGTTATTGGATGCATGTGGTCTAACATGTTTGCATTTTTTATCTCACTTGTTGCGAGTGGCTCAGTGGTGACTGTGAAGCCCCTAAATAACAGCTGGGGTTGTAAACCTCGAGGGCATGCACCAGCTAGTCCCCAGGGGTCCGTTATCTGCACCGTGACACTGGTTGTTGTAAGTAAGGGGGTCTTAAAGGGAGCGTCACTGTCTTGGAGAAAGTCAGAGTGTCAAGGAGGGAACGTCATGGTGTCCGTTCATGGTGTTTGGTCGAGACTCAGGGTGTCTGAATGAGATTCATGTTGTCCGGGAGAACCTCAGGGTGCGTAGGAGAAAATCGGGTGTTCAAAAGGTTCACGGTTCTTGGGAGACTGAGACCTATACCAACATTAAATCACTCCTTAATCTGTATTAAAAAATAATTACCTTGACAGCGTTCTTGACGTGTTGAGGAATCTGCAGTGTCAGCAGCCGAATTTGATCCATGTTTTTGTTGGCCAGGTTGAAAGCATTCCATCCCTCATCAGCAACTTGAAGGATGCTGGTCCGCAGAGACTCCGGGTACTCGGTGTGTTTGAAGCGATCCCTTGTCATGTGTTCCGACACAAGAGACACGTCCTTGTCCAGCGTGACGAGGACCAGTTGCCCCAGGAGACACACCGAGAGAGGGGCGGGACACAGCATCTCCTGCCAGTTCATGTGAGGCCCAAGGACCAACATCATGTCCTCCTGAAATCAACAACAGGTTGAATGTAAACCTAAGCGTTTTCTACATGATTTGGTGGTGCCCTGTGGGGATTCTGGGGGTAGAATTTGTCCCCAGGAACCTACGCTGGTCGCAGTAAGCGACTCAATGAATCAGGTGGTCAGGCAGTCACAGTTAAGTAAGTGTTTGACTTTTCAAACAACAAACACACTTCTACATTTGTTTTCATTTCATTCCACCGATATGTATTTTTCAAGTACCACTACCACCCCAATATCAGTACCTCCCAATTCCATCACCACTACCTCTCAATACCTCTACCTCAAGTTCCAGCACAACTACCACCTCCTCAATACCCGTCCTCTCAATACCAATACCTCCCTGTCTGGAACCTCTCCAATTCCAATTCCCGTCCCTAGCGTAATAGAAGGCACAATGATAATCTTTGCCTTCAGTCGCGTTAGGCTTAGAGATGTCTTAAACAGACTTAAATGACGGTAACACAGATTAGCGGGCGCTTGATCTGTACTTGTTTGGAACCCATGGGGAATCCCTATTAGAAAAGTTCCCCAGCAGTCTATGGACCAAAGTGTGCGGGTGGTCAAGCTCGATGACTTGGGTGATTGCATGTCATCGTACCCCGACAGCGTGGATCATTATTCACAGGCCGCCTTCATGTACCTGTAATATTGCGACGAACAACAACAAACATTAACCCTCTATCTTTTTCTTTTGAAATACTTACCTTAACATCTTTCGGGCTCATCAGGCCTTTCTCTGCCTTGGCAATCGTCTTCTTGCTGACATCCGCCATGCTGTTTCGCTTAAGCCTCTATTAGTCCGTATGGTCTATCAGAATTAAGAAAATATCGTGTGCAAAAAAGAAAAGCGTGTGCAATGACTTCGTCAAAACTTTATGAGTTCGAATTTTTTATCCCGGCCTTGACTACATACAGTCGATTTCCGGTGTATGCATAGTTGTAACATGTGTTTAGTTTTAGTTAGCTATGAACCTACACCGTGCATTAAACTTCTGCCTGGCATTGAAGTACCATTGCCTGATATTAAAGTACCATTGCCTGGCATTGAAGTACCATTGCATGATATTGAAGTACCATTGCCTGGCATTGAAGTACCATTGCATAACATTAAAGTACCATTGCCTGATATCAAAGTACCATTGCCTGACATTGAAGTACCATTGCATGACATTAAAGTACCATTGCCTGATATTGAAGTACCATTGCATGACATTGAAGTACCATTGCCTGGCATTGAAGTACCATTTCCGGACACTGAAGAAGCATTACCTGGCATTGGATTACTATTGCCTGGCATTGAAGTATCATTGCCTGACATTGAAGTATCATTGCCTGACATTGAAGTATTATTGCCTGGCATTGGAGTACTATTGCCTGACATTGAAGTACCATTGCCTGACATTGAAGTACCATTGCCTGATATTGCCTGACATTGAAGTACCATTGCCTGGCATTGAAGTATTATTGCCTGGCATTAAATTATCATTGCCTGGCATTGAGGCAATGACTCGGGCAGATAGCCACAAGACTGAAGCACATGTTGCACGAGAAATATTGCCATTTGTCGATGTAAGCTGAGTATGAGTGCCCATTGGTTTGAGGACATGCTGGATTACCTATCGCTGAAACCGGACCGTAGTTTCATTAGTTGGATAAAATACTACAGAGCACGTCGGACGAATGTGTTCGCGGGTGGTGGGGGAACCTGACAAAAAATGATCTGCAGGTTTCCTATATAATTTGGGAGACACTACTTATTTTTATGACACTAAACATGGCATCGACAAATTGAATTATGTACGAGTGCCTGATGTCATTTTTACATGACATAATCCGTACATTTAGCGAAAGCTAGAAATCATGACTTGCTCATTTTCCTTAACCATTACACCAAGAAGAATATTATTTCTTATAAAAATATATAGTTGTTCAACATATACTGGAAAATATAATGTGGCTTCAGATTGAATAGACAATTGTTCCCTATCTAATATAAAATTATATATCAAATTCTTCGGCTCGAAGAAAAACACACACTAATACAGAGATCCCTAAATCCATCTCCCCAACCCCTTAAACGTTACTACACGATTAAACAAAATACTTCAATTTTTACAAGAAACATTTGCCTGTTAATGTTTCTGTTTTGCTTGAGCAGCTAAGTTCAAACTGTGCCTCTGAGTCCGTGTTCGCGTTTTTGTTTCAAGAGTATACCTGTTTTCATGTTATTTATTTGTAGAGAGAAATCGGAATTTTCTCGTATGTATGAAATAGAGACTTCTATGTAGTATTTAAAGATTAGTCCGTTTTCTATACAGATCAGCAACATGATCGTAACCCGACGGTGTGGCTCATGCTATCAACCACTGATTTGCGTGTGCCATACTCGATTACTCGTATTTACTGGCCGCTAAGTTGGCGCACTTTGCTGTCAAGAATTGCGTCCCTCAGGCTTGGCGTCCCAGAAACCTATGATTGTGGGTTCGAATCCATATTTCGCCCTGAAAATATGTTTCTGGGTTTGTCAGCACCTAATACGTGCTCGTGGGTTTCACCAAAGTGGTAAACGTCTAAAACCTGCATCAGTTCGAGCTATCTTACCACACCAAGCTGACATTTCGGTATACAATTGCAAAACTTCATCATTGAACTCCTGGCGGCTTAGACCGCCTCCGTGGTTTAATGGTAAAGCGTCCGCCTGGAGAGCGGAAGGTCCGGGGTTCGATCCTCAGCCGCGTCCCACCAAAAGACGTTAAAATATGGTACTTGTTGTACAGATCAGGTGCCTGCTGATTCATGTTAAACTGCGGCATGGTATCTCAGTGAGCTAGCACTGTAAATCGGCATCAGTCCGGACTAGCCACACAAACACACACACGTACATGCGCGTCGCTATATAAGTGCAATAATGTTGGACGCGACGTTAAACCCCATATCACCTCACCTCACCTCACCACACCTGGCGGCTTAAACAATATTTATTCATATGACGTGACTCGGCTTGTGCGCTTGTAGAAGCCACTTTAATATCGATCAGATGGTTAACATGCAAGATTCCCACCGTGAGTACACGATAATAATCATTTGCCATCTACTCACATGACTGGTCTAGATGAGGCTAGATAGTTCAGTTACCATACATATGGCGTGTAGGTACACAAGATATCTGCAAAACCATTCATGAGGTAATAAAGATACAAAAATTGATAATAATTGAATAATACAACAATGCACCACATGCTACTTCGACGACAAAGCATTAATCACATAATAAACAAAATCAACACGAATCTTCAAAAAGGTAAATCTTGACATGTGTGACACAGCGATAGTTAATTCCAATTGCTGCCTCTGTCTCATCTGGAGAATGTACTTCTAATACCAACCATTAATTAGGTAGCGGTGGTGTCGTAGACATTCACGACCAACGTTATATGTAGGCATTTACAAAATCTATATGAAAAAAGACCAGGAATCGAGCTTGACCTATTTCCATGTGAATATTTGTAAAATTAGAACAATCCAATACATAACATGTTCTTCAAGTCCAGCATGCGTACTGTCACATTGCGAAAGTCATTTTTTTACAGGTATAGTTCAAATATGGAATTGCGTTCCTCCAATTAATCTCACATGGAAACGAAAAGCCTCCCTGTCTGTTGACGTGTGGTCTTGGAAGCACGTGTTCTTCATTCACCAATCATCATCGTCATCATCGCAAACGGCCATAAATTCAGGACGAGAAAGCACCTTCTTCCAGAGATCTGGTTGCGTAATGAGCTCCTCAAAACTGTCAAACAAACTCTTAAGAGGTATCCCGATCTCTGCTATTTCATGCATGATGGCCGTGGCATCTCTCAATACCTCTGCTCGTCCCGACACTTTACCCAGACGAGTCATCACCTTCCTCAACGCGGTTAGGGTTCTATTTTGTGTGTTAATATCCTTCCTGTATGCATAAATATCATCTTCAATCTCCTCCATTTCATCTTCCAGTCTGGTCCGTGTCTTCTTATGTCTTTTGATAATGGCTCGAGTATTCTCATGTTGTTCTGTCATCTCACGTAGAGCGTCTTCAGCACTGGTTAAATCTGACTCGGCGGAGCCAAGGCAACCTTCTGCATTATCAACACGTGGTTTGAGTATCGCATGATCATAGATCGAGACCGAAGTTCCTACTACAGGTATCCACCACGTGTATTTTACGACCGTCTGAACTTTATTTCTGGTCTCACTGACCTCATCGTACTCAGACTGTGCCTTTTTGACACGTTCCTCAGAATCGTCCACTTCTTCTTGAGCGCCCTCAGCCTCCTTCTTCTGTTTCTTGAGTCTTATTGACAAAGACTCCAGTGAATCTTCCAAGCCTGTCAGAGATTTAATAATTGCTTTGTTTCTCCTCTGCATACTTGATAGTTCTGCTTCCTGTTCCCGACACTTTCTGGTTTGACGATAGATATGGTTGTCTAACTTATCCTCAGCCATTGAAAAAGCCACATGAGCCATTTCTACATGTTTTTTGAAATTGTAATGTCCATCCTGCAGTGCAGTCATTAGATTGTCAATGGACTGGAGACCAGACTGGAACGTGGACACGACCGAACTGGGCAAACGTCGTTCACCTCTTCCAAATGATACCATCGCCATCTTCTGAAAATGTGGAGGAGCTGAATGAAGTTGTGTTCTACGATTGGTTGTTTCATAACTCGAACACATGCTAGACTTTGGAGTTCCATGTGAGTTTCAGGTTACGATCCGTCCACTGTACACAGGACAGTATTATAATCAGTATTAGTTGGTTAATATGTGAAAGAGTGAGTGAATACGATTTTACGCTGCTTTTAGCAAAATTCCAACAATGGACACCAGAAATTGGTGTAGAGAATCGATTGTACCGACGTAGGAAATCGATTGTACCGACGTAGGAAATCGATTGTACCGACGTAGAGAATCGATTGTACCGACGTAGGGAATCGATTGTACCGACGTAGGGAATCGATTGTACCGACGTTGGGAATCGATTGTACCGACGTAGGGAATCGATTGTACCGACGTAGGAAATCGATTGTACCGACGTAGAGAATCGATTGTACCGACGTACGGAATCGATTGTACCGACGTAGGGAATCGATTGTACCGACGTTGGGAATCGATTGTACCGACGTAGGAAATCGATTGTACCGACGTAGGGAATCGATTGTACCGACGTAGGGAATCGATTGTACCGACGTAGGAAATCGATTGTACCGACGTAGGGAATCGATTGTACCGACGTAGGGAATCGATTGTACCGACGTTGGGAATCGATTGTACCGACGTTGGGAATCGATTGTACCGACGTTGGGAATCGATTGTACCGACGTAGGAAATCGATTGTACCGACGTAGGAAATCGATTGTACCGACGTAGGGAATCGATTGTACCGACGTTGGGAATCGATTGTACCGACGTAGAGAATCGATTGTACCGACGTAGAGAATCGATTGTACCGACGTAGAGAATCGATTGTACCGACATAGGGAATCGATTGTACCGACGTTGGGAATCGATTGTACCGACGTTGGGAATCGATTGTACCGACGTAGGAAATCGATTGTACCGACGTAGGGAATCGAGCCCGGGCCTCCGGCGTGACAGACGAGTGGTCTAATCATTTTTGTCAAGTTGTTTTCGAGAATATGTCCAGATAAGTTTTTTGTTTGAAATCCCATCCCATCCCTCCCCCTCAGAATATCAAATGGTCGGCCCATATATTGCAGTGTCAAACAGGATCTCGGATTCATGCGGAGGTGTCGTAACATTACCGATACACTGAAGCCTTCATACAGTATACACCATAGTATTAGCGATTATCGTCTGTATCTTAGTTGAACAGTGCTTCGTTTCGGAAGTGACGTCAACATCTCGATCGATATCTCAGCACATGATTACTTTCGCTGATGAGTGTAATCTGATTGGACGGTTATAATTAACCTCACGTCATTTGATTCAGGCTTGAAACGAAGTTGTGGTGAATGTATACAGGGTAATGCTATTGACATAAAGTCCTGTGACTATCGATGTTTCTGCGAGGGACGCAAAGAACGGGCTTTACATTTATCCATGCGGAGAATCGAACATTAGTTTTCGGCATGATGAGCAAACACGTTAACCACTAGGCTACCCTCATCACCTATTTCAATGGACGTAGCAGTGGTTTCTTCTTTACGTTTTTTGGTTTGTTGTTTAACGCCGTACTCAGCAATATTCCAGCTATATGACGGCGGCCTGTAACTAATCGAGCCTGGACCAGACAACCCAGCTATTGACATCATGAGCATCGATCCACGCAATTGGGATACGATTGCATACTTTAACCTATGTTTTTATAGTGATTGAGTTCGGCTGACACATCAATCACCTACAAAAAAACACACCCAAAAACAGGAACATAAATTTCTTTCTTGCCTAAAGCGAATTGCGGAGCCTTACACATCTAAGCACCCTGAGCCCTTTTATGCTAATTCATGGCAGCTCTACTGGTATGTATTGTTGTTAAACCTTTATCTCGTTTATATAAATCCATATTATTGACTTCCGTACTTGATCTATGAGTATCGACACTAGATCAGGTCAAATTCTAATTAATGTTTGTCAACGTTATCTTCCAGGACGACAACTAGACCATATATTTTAAATCAGGTTCTGTGACCTAAACCTTGTTATCATTGACTGACATTACTGGTTTTCGTAGCTGACTCGTCTCTCTACGAAGATTTCAAACAGCGTAATACAACTCTGCTCAAAGTTGCGTGATAAGGGTTCCAACAATGAAGGCATCAGTAACGTTTTGTGGACATGTGGAGGACATTTCCAGATTTGACGCATCAGTGACCAAAGGGATGTCCAATTCCCTATTTTGACAATTTTCATGTGTGCTTTCAGGTGAACAATTGCCTTGCCTTTGCACGCTTTTGTGACGGGTGCCACCGGTGGGGCACGGCACGCTTACCTTTATGCGAAAACCTGGTAACATCTCCATGTGATAGTGATTCATAAAGCACATGCGTATGATACTGTCGGTACCGTACAATGGACTGTGCTTTTACCAGAGATGTCTCATGATTATGGCGAGACCGCCTCTGTGGTCTAGAGGTAGAGCGTTCGCCCGGAGAGCGGAAGGTCGGGGTTCGATCCCCGGCCGCGTCGTACCAAAAGACGTTAAAAGATGGTACTTGTTGTTACCCTGTCTGGCGCTCGGCATTAAGGGGCTAAAACAAGGACTGGTCAACTCGGAGTCAGTATACTGTGTCTGAGTGGGGTATTCATGTTAAACTGCGACACGGTATCTCAGTGGGCTAGCACTATAAATCGGCATCAGTCCGGACTAGTACAAGCAGCCACACAAACACACACACGTACATGCACGTCGCTATATAAGTGCAATAATCTTGGACGCGACGTTAAACCCCATTTCACCTCACCACCTCCTGGTTATGGCAATAGTTTTGTCCCTTGGATTTTCATCAGGGGTGAACTGTTTCTTATATCTGCATCGAAGCCGAAAATTAACTTCGGGGCAGACGTGCGACCCATCATTGTAAAAAGCGCTTCTCTATGCAAACACATGGATACTGCAATGACTTAAAACCTGGCGTCTATAGTCCTTGCCACCTGACACAGAATCACGAAATATCGATTTTATTAATAAGTTGTTGCAGTTGGTTTGTTATTTAACGTTGCACTCAGCAATATTTGACGGAGGACTAAATAATCGAATCTGGAACAGACAATCCAGTGATTGATGTCATGAACATCGATCCACGCAAGTGTGATCGATGACATGCATCAACCAAGTCGGCGAGCCTGACCACCCGATCCCGTTCGTCGCCTCTTACGACAAGCGTAGTCGCCTTTTACGGCAAGCATGGGTTGCTGAAGACCTATTCTATCCCGGATCTTCACGAGTCTGCTGATAATGAACCGACGCTGCTAAAATAGGTGCTCACAGTCAAGTAGCTGCCGACCCTTACCCGGATTTTAAGTACGTGATCTAATCTCGGTTTCTTAGGACAATGTCTTAAGCGCTTTCGACAGTATTCAATTACATCATGGCGGGTCACCAGCTTGGTGTGTCACCCTAATTGATACATGTCTCAAACATGTACCATTCTGATGAGTGAGACAGTGAGTTTGGTTTTACGCTGCTTTTAGCAATATTCCAGCAATATCACGGCTGGGGACACCAGAAATGGGCTTCACACATTGTACCCATGTCGGGATTCGAACCCGGGTCTTTGGCGTGACGAGCGAACGCTTTAACCACTAGGCTACCCTACCGCCCCACCATTCTGATGAACCCCGCGACCACGGGTAAGTACGGACAATCCAGAAACATCATTAAAATTTAAGTGCACAATTAAGATCCATTTATTGTCTTTGGTGGTTATTTATACAGAAATAAAGATTTTTTTCTGTATCCGCCCATGCATTGCACATCTCTTGTACACAAGCAACACATTAGGGAACATTTTCTCAAAGTCCCCCAAAGAATAACAGGCCACCATGCTATTCCAGTCAGTAAACAAGACCTTTCCCCACATGAAAATTCAATTTCAAGATGCAACAATAACAAGTCTAAGGGTTTTTCAAATAAAAGTGCAGCAGTAACTGGCAACGAATAACACAACCACTTTCCGCAAAGACCTGAATGAGTGAGTTTGGTTTTATGTTAGCAAAATTCGAGCAAGTTCATTGCGGGGGCCGCGTACAGAATGTACCCTCGTGGGAATCGAACCCAGGTCTTCAGCGTGGAGAGCGAAAGCTTAAACCTCTTGGCTAACCAACCCCATTGTGCAATGACCTGAAGATGACTTTGACCTTTGTTAGGTTTGTTTGTTTGTTGTTTAACACCGTAATATTCCAGCTATGTGACGGCGGTCTGTATATAATCGGGTCTGGATCAGACAATCCAGTGATTGACATCATGAACATCGATCCACGCAGTTGGGATCGATGATATGCATCAACCACGTCAGCGAGCCTCACCACCCGATCCTGTTTGTCACCTCTAACGACACAAGATTTGATGATTAAGAATGTGTTCACATACACGAATATATCAAATGTCACGCCTGTTGCAGAAACTATGTCTCAGGAACTGACAAATAATATGGTCATTGACCTTCACCTTTGACTTATCTTGACCAAAGATTTTCAAAGCAGGACCCCATCTTAGATAAATTTAAATAATTGAAGCTTTCTGAAATTTAAAGAAAGACAAATTCTCCTGACCTTGACCTATCACATTTACATGGCATGTGACAAAAGAACTCCCCATACTGCCTAAGTCCATTGCAGGATAACCTCATTTTACTTTGCGACGTTGCCAATGGGAAGTATGAAACAATCATCTCTAAGGTGACCTTGTCTTTTATAAGTGGCATCAAAGGCGCATAGTTTTAACAGTTTTAAATTAGTAATGTTACATGTTTGTGGAACACAAAAACAAACAAACACAAGATGAGTTGGGATAGATCGGCGGGATAAATAGCCTCAGTATACTACAATTACTTTTTCATTTATTCCGAAATAACAGAAAAAAATTAATAATGACAATACTGAATGGTGTGAGTTCACTTCAAAATGAGCTCCTTCCATGACAGACTTTG